AAAATGTCCTAATAGTAGATGTGAAAAGAAGTTTAAATGTATATATAAACTTCATCAATTTAATTTTGAAAAATAAAGACACTTTTTCATAATTTATTACTATATTAATAGATTATAAAAAATTTTCAATCATCTCTCTCTATTCTTTTTCTTTATATTAGTAAATTATTTGATATTAATTAGTAATTGATATTTTATTTCATATTATTTTACACTTTCATTTTATTTTTGTGTCAATTCACCTTTACTCTCTCATATTATCTTTATGGATAATGATCTGTTTACCCAATGTTTCCACACCCTTCAGTTACACCCAACTCTTTCCGTTATTGTTTCCGTTAATTACATTAACTCCGTTACTATTACTTCTTCCTCTTTCTTTCTTCTTCTCTTTTTTTTCCTCTCTCTTCTCCATCATCGTGTTCTCTGGAGAACCCAGGTCTGGGTTCTCCAGAGAACCCGTTCGGTCCCAAGTACAGTCTTTTCCTTTTCTCTCTCCTTTCCTTTCTCCCTCTTATTGTTTCGATTGATGTTCTCTCTCTTTCAGATATGGAGTTGGGTTTGAAATGTTAGAAATTTTGGGAGTTTTTTGGGAGAGAGAAAACAAATGGAACTTGAGATGTTGGAGAAATTCAACAACTTGAAAATTTTTATTGTTGCTGTAATGAAATTTTAATCATGGCCATTCGTTCTGCAGACCCACACCTTCAACTTCCCTTTTTTTATTTTATCTTCTTTTACTTGTTGCAACGAGATCAACTTTGACATTGCAACGAGATCAAGCCAACGGCAACGAAATCCAGCAAGCAACTATGAGCGGTAGCGAGAAACATCCAGCGACCATAATCGACGACAAGAAGCAACCAGTCCGCGCCAGATCCACATCGCCAACGGCTCAAGACAGAGCCGCAACCACAAAGACGGCACCCACAAATCTGGTTTCCATCTTCAAAAACAAGAACCTTCAAGAAGAAATTAAACAAATTTTGAAATGTAATCGGACCTATCATGCCGATCAAACATTTATCCCTCACTAGAAATCTTTGATTTTAGGCCCAAATTTCATCATCCCCCACCGGCAGCCATAAATCCTTTTTCCCGCAACCAAAAGATCATTCCCTCTCAATAACGGAGTTAATGTAATTAACGAAAACAATAACGGAAAGAGTTGGGTGTAACTGGAGGGTGTGGAAATTGGATGTCCGTATCAGCGTCCTATCTTTATATATGTATTTCATTATAAATTTATATCTATATTAGTAACTAGTTGTTTATCATTTTTTTATCCCTTATCCTCCACTCTCTATTATTATTTCTTACTCAGTTGTTGCATATATATTTTGCTATCATTTTTTATCTTTTTTAAACTAATTTTTCTTCCTCTCTCTCCTTTATATATTAGAAATGTTTTCCAATCAAAACAAAAAATGCATAACTTATTAGTATTATTATTTCTTAGTATTTAATTTTTTACTTACCTTCAGTCCAACTTTCATTAATTTTTATTAAGTCTCAGTCTCTCAGCTTCTCTCTCAAATTTTACATCATTATATCTAATTCTTCACCTTATACATTATTCTTTGTTTTATTATACTCTCATCTCTATTATTGTTTCTTAGACATTCCATGTTTCTTAATCTATTATTATATATACTCTGAACCTTTTTTCTACTTTGATATGTTTTTAGGCGAAACCCCTTATTTACATTTAAAATGATATTGTTTTTTTTTAAAAAAAATTAATACTCTCTAAAACTTTTATTTTTGGTCAATATTTTTCATAATTTAAAACACTTAAAAAATCTCAAATTACAAACAAAATCATATGCAAGTCAAGGTGCGAATAGCAGTGCGCAAGTAAAGAATTCAGTTATTAACTTTTAAGTTTTTCATGCGCCCCACACTCAGATTACTGGCTTTTGTTTTTCTTTTTTTTCTTTTTTTCTTTTTTTTCATCTGAATCATTTCCTTCTCTTTTTCTCTACTTCCCCAGAATACCCCCCATCACATGCACAAAGGGCAGCAGTTACGAAAAGAATCAGAATTACTTGACAAAGTGGGATGGAACAGGCTAAAGCCAGTTAAGTATCATTTCTTCTTTTTTTTTTTTTCTTTTTTTGTTGAAGATAGGCAATGAAGAAAGTATCATCTTGAGTGCAAGTCAGCATGCACGGAGATCTCTTCATAGAGTTTTTGGCTGGAAAAAGACAAAGGCTGCATTTTAGCTTTTGGGTTTCGATTTGGTTCATTGATTTTCAATGGAAGCTGTAGCATCAAGTATTGCTGACGCAATGCTTTCCTCTCTGTTTGACTATATATTTGAATGATTATTTGCCTCCTCAGAGTTTCTCAACTTTGCCCGGCAAGAGCAAGTCTTGTCCCAACTCAACAAGTGGAAGAACCTGTTACCAAAGATCAGAGCCATTCTCGATGACGCAGAAGATAAGCAAGGAGGGTTGCAGTTTGTCGCTAAGGAGGGTTGCCATTCCAAGGTCGACGTAAATTCGCTGCAACTGAGGCTAAGGGAGGAGCTTTCTGGAAAGAAGTTTTTGATTGTTTTAGATGATGTTTGGAATGAGAACTATGAAAGTTGGGATGTTCTACGTAGATCCCTCTTGGCTGGAGCAGCTGGTAGCAAAACTCGAAAGGGTTGCATCTATCATGACAACATGTGGAGTATACCATTTGCAGGCCTTGTCTGATGATGCTTGCCTTTCACTGTTTGCCAGACATGCTCTTCGAGCTAGTAATTTTGATGGACATGCA